GTACATGATATACACTATTCATGCGAAAATTATGCGTTCTGTGTACTATGTTTAACGTTCGCATTCAAAACAATGACAACAACATGCTTAACTCCCCCAATATCTGGATGAAAGTATGTCACTATTGCGTGTCAGGCTGCCATATTGAATGTTTAACACTTGCACAAATAAAATGTTAGTATTTTTTAACATGAATTCGAGCTCCGTACATTGGGAATGTAACACAAACTACCTGGACAATCCGACACCAAAAAAAACGTCTAAAGACAAACATTTGTTTTTCCTGTTTGAAATACGTACAGAAATACAAAATACATAGAATAAACACAACCTTAGCATGTATTACAAAATGTACATGATATACACTATTCATACGAAAATCAACTTTTACAATCGTTCTGTGTGCTATGTAACACCCATAACGTCGTTAAAGGCATCCAGACCATGAAAACAACGTGCTTGAAATACTGTTAGACACTGCATAGATCGACTTACCAGTCTAGAGTTAAAAAATCCACAATACATCCATCACATTTGTGTATTATAATCCATCAAGTCACAGAGTAACACATCTCACCACCCTGTACCTCTGCGCTCTCAGTCAGACAAAGACCCCCATGTGCTATCACTCAAACAAAGACATTTTCGCGCGGTTTTAGGGACACACGTGTCTCAGCCTAAAAACCGGTTCTGTGTCAAACCGGTTCGCAAACGACACTTTCAAAACGGCCACGTAACCAAACCGGGTACATATCCCAAACGGCTGCTCACATTTCTAAAATGAAGTCTTATTTTAAGTGTATATATGAATAATAATAATGACATACTATTTATTTGGCATGTTAGCACAAGATGGATGAAAATGACACAATACTGTAAAGTATGGTTCAGGGTGAATATTTGTTTTATTTCAGATGGATCTCCAAACCAAAATAGATTCTTTTGATGACTATGCCAGTTTGATCAAGTGGGCAGAAGAACACGGGCTGTCAAACGATGAGCGAGTAGGTATGAGGTCTGTATGCTTGCTGTGTAGACAGACAGAAGATCAGTCAGTTGCAGCAACAACACCAACAGCAACACTTGAAGACCAGCTGGTAAAAGATCTTCAATTTACCCATGAGGAAATGGAAGAAATGTCTTCTTTATACGAGCTCAGCTCTAATGACAGTCCCTCCTTGGAGAGTATTGATCCAACATTAAACAAAACCAATGATCGGCGACAGAAGGGTTTACCATGTTCCTTCTGTGGAAATACATTTAGGAGAATGCCTGATCTCAGAAAACACAGGATGACCTGCCCTAAACGTTCTGCAGATCTGTCTACTGACTCCAATCCTCCAAAAAGACAACGTACTATTAATCAGTATGGTGGTGTAGGGTCCCCCCTCCCTGATGCTGAGTCTCCTAAAACTCAACCCTATACTTTTACAAAGAAGAACACCAAGACCTTTGCCAAGACTGGAGCTATAAGTACAACCTATGAGATCAAATTTAACGACGAATGGCAAGGTCAAAGTCTCAGGACTTGTTTGAAGAGGTTCTACAGCAAGCCATCCCTGATGATGTTCAGGAAGGAGATTTGGGGAGAATCATTATCCATCATCAAGCCTTAAATAAGGCTATTGTGGTACCTCTGCAACCTCTGTCCCAGCTACATGCAGAACTGATCATGAAACACATTGAGAAAGTGTTAAACAGTCGTGAAGAACTAGCCATGGATGTCTCCTTTCATGTGGATATAGGAATCATACGTATACCTCGAGGCGGTCGATCCAACAAGACCTTAATGCAACTCACAGGTCAAAACAACTCTATTCATCTGAAACGATCCATAGTGCAGATTGTCAACGAGGATAACCTATGTATGGTCAGAGCCATTATTGTGTGCTGGGCCAAAGCTAATCAAATTAGTCAAGATGACTGGAAGAAACTCATTGGTCATACTCAAACACCCTTGATAGACTTAGTACTCCAGTATCGGAAATGTCCCAAACATTTATATGAAAATTTAAGAAAAAAGTCACGCCATGATCAAGGAAAGTTGGCCATGAAGTTATGTAAATTGGCAGGTATCCCTACAGATCGTGCCTGTCATTTGAATGATATTCCAGCTTTCGAGAAAGTACTAGGATGTCAGATTCTAGTGGTCAGCGCTGAAAGAGGGAACAAGTTTATCCGGGTTGGTGATCAAGAGTCAGAACACCCCAAACTCTTTCTCTACCTTGTCGAAAAACCACAATCTCATTTCCATGCCATTGTCAACATTACTGGATTTTTCTCTGCCTCATATTTTTGTGAGCAGTGTTTGAAACCTTACAATAACAAATTACGTCATTCTTGCTCTGAGACCTGCATTGTATGCCATAGCCAAAAGTGTCCTGAAACGGATACTCCATTGACTTGTCGACATTGCCATATGACCTGTAGGTCACCTGAATGTTTCCAGCGCCACCAAACTGGAAAAAGAAATGTAAAGAATGGCACATACACCCCCTCAAAATGTGAGAGTTTCTGGAAATGTACCATGTGTAAGAAAGTATTATGTCGAAGTGAGAGGGACCCCAAACTACACCACTGTGGAGAATGGAAATGTCCTGGATGTCAAGAAGTGGTGGAACAAGATCATCTTTGTTACCAGAAACCTAATGAAGTGGACGAGACCAAGAGTAAATTCATCTTTTACGACTTTGAATGTCGACAGGATGAACAGTTGATGTGTGAAGAAGGTTATTCACCACAAGGGCCCTGTCCTACATGTCCTGCTGATAACTGTCCCCATCAGTCATCTATTTGTCAGCATTGTCACCAATCCTGGTGTGGTAAATGTCAACATGTTCCCAACTACTTGGTGGCTCAGTCAGCCTGTCCTGTTTGCAAAACAGAGTCAGTCGATGAAGAATCCAAATGTCATCACTGTGGTTCTAGATGCCCTGTCTGTAATGCAAGGGACAAGAAAACCAAGCAATTTAAGGAACCTCCTTGTGAAGAGAGTTGTGGATTTCGTCAAGTGATTTTCAAGGGAGATGGAGCTCACATTGAATTTTCAAGATGGCTCTTCAGTGGCAATCATAAAGACTTCACAGCTATTGCTCACAATAGCAAAGCCTATGATGGATACTTTCTATTGGAGTACATGATAGATCAATCCATGTATCCAAGCAAAATCATTTACACTGGTTCTAAAATTATGTACATGCAGATTGAGAAAGGCCTCAACATCAGAATCATAGACAGTCTCAACTTTCTTCCAATGAAATTGGCCTCCTTACCCAAAGCTTTTGGACTGACAGAACTGAAGAAGGGTTACTTCCCACATTGGTTCAATTTGAAGGAGAACCAAAATTATATTGGAGCTTTTCCAGATCCTCACATGTATGGAGGGGACTACATGGGAGCTACAGACAGAGATGCATTCTTGACATGGTACGGCCAACAACATGGACAATTTGATTTTTCTAAAGAAATGAAGGAGTACTGTATCTCAGATGTCACTATACTCAGAGAAGCCTGTCTAAAGTTTCAGCAACTGATGATGGAGGCCACAGGCGAGGAAACGGAAGGAGAGATCATTGAGGGCGTTGATCCCTTTGCAAACTCTATCACTATAGCCTCCTTGTGCATGAACATATTTAAAACCAAGTTTCTGAAACCTCACGAACATGCCAGACTGACTGATGGACAAACTATCACAAACTGGATGTCTTCCAGACCCTCCGAAGAAGAAGATGGGTCATGTGATGTCAAGCTCGAGAGTGGTCAGTGGATGTCACAAAGACAGCTTCAAAAGAGGGGTATTATTGTCCATGAAGCAGAAACAGTTCCAAGCCCTATTGCTCAAGTACCATGTCAGGGGTATGTTGGACATGGACAATATAGTAAAGTTTCCATTCAATGGTTAGAATGGATCATGCATTCAGAAAATATTGACATACAACATGCCCTGAATGGAGGTGAACATAAGGTGCCTGGAACCAACTACCGAGTGGATGGTTATTGTCCCAAAACAAACACAGTACTGGAATTCCATGGTTGTTGCTATCATGGTTGTAAGGCATGCTTTCCACACGACAGATCATCGACCATACTCCCCAGGACCAAACAGTCCGTGGAAGAACTTTATGCTCTCACCTGTAAGAAATCATGGGTGTTGAAACAGAAAGGCTACAAAGTGGTTACCATCTGGGAACACGAGTTCCAACAACAATTAAAGGATAAACCAGACATGAAGGCTTTTGTCAGTACACTGGACATACAGGATCGCTTAGAGCCACGTGACTCCTTTTTTGGCGGCAGGACCAATGCCAGTACACTTCACTACAAGGTGAAAGAAAGTGAAGAAATTCATTACGTGGACTTTACAAGTCTCTACCCATGGGTCAACAAATATTGTCAGTACCCTATTGGACATCCCCAAATCATTCACAAGAATTTCCAGTCTTTGGATCACTATTTTGGAATTGCCAAGGTGAAGATATTACCGCCTAGAAAACTCTATCATCCAGTACTCCCCTATCGATCTGAAGGCAAGCTAAAGTTTCCTTTATGTTGTACCTGTGCTGACGAGGAGCAACAGACCCCTTGTGAACATTCAGATGAGCAGAGAGCCATCCTAGGAACTTGGTGTACACCTGAAATAGTGAAAGCCATTGAGAAAGGATACAGAGTGATCAAGGTGTATGAGATTTACCACTGGTCAGAAACAGCTCAGTACAACCCTGAGACAGGACAGTGTGGATTGTTTACGGATTACATCAACACCTTCTTGAAGTTAAAACAACAAGCCAGTGGATGGCCAGCATGGTGTGAAACGAAAGATGACAAGGAGAAATACATAGCGGACTACAGAGAGAAGGAAGGTATACAACTGGACAAGGATCGCATAGAAAAAACCCCAGGACTACGATCCCTGGCTAAATTATGCTTGAACAGTTTCTGGGGAAAATTTGGACAGCGTTTGAACATGAAACAATCAGAATTTATCCATGACACAGAAGCAGAAAAGTTCTTCCAGATGTTGACAGATCCTACCAAGGAAGTGACAGATTTTCACATACTGACAGATCGGATTTTACAGTTGGAATATAATTATAAATCTAGCTTTGTCCCGGAAGACAACAAGACCAACATCTTCTTGGCCACATTCACCACTGCTTGGGCAAGACTGAAGTTATACAGTGTCCTAGAAAAGTTGGATCAACAAGTGTTGTATTATGACACTGATTCTGTGATCTATGTAGCCAAACCCAATGATTACAAGCCACCACTCGGAGATTATCTTGGTGATCTTACCAATGAACTGGACAACAATGACTACATTGAGGAGTTTGTGTCTGCAGGGCCCAAGAATTATAGTTATGAAACTAAAAAGGGGAAACAAGTGTGTAAAGTCCGGGGGTTTTCTTTGAATTTCAAGAACACCCAACTCATCAATTTTGAAGCCATTCGGGACATTGTACTTTCACCCAAGAGAGACAAAACCATCATAGTAACCAATCCTTCCAAGATCTCACGAGAGAAAAGGAAACGGAAAATCTACAATAGAGAAGAGAAGAAAAAGTACCAGATGGTTTATAACAAACGGGTCATTCAGCCCAACTTGGACACTTTGCCTTATGGATATTAGCCTATTCCTCCCATCATCAACTAACCCATACTTCCCAACATCAAACAAAAAACCAATCATCCAACCAATCATCCAACCATCAGTCAACCAGCCAACCAGCCAACCAATGTCATATCATCAGAGACCGGGCCGGAGGACCCGTGAATTGTAATTGAATAGTAATGGTTTGTAGGGGTTGTGGTTTTAACAAATCAACCCCTCAATCCATTACTTCACTGGGTCTTCTGAGCTAATCTTCAAGCTGTATGGGTCCCTCTGTGTCCCTGACGTGTCCCTCTGTGTCCCTGAAGTGTCCCTCTGTGTCCCTCATGTGTCCCTCATGTGTCCCTGAAGTGTCCCTCTGTGTCCCTCATGTGTCCCTCAAGTGTCCCTCTGTGTCCCTCGAGTGTCCCTCTGTGTCCCTCAGTGTCCCTCTTGTGTCCCCTCATGTGTCCCTCAAGTGTCCCTCAAGTGTCCCTCTGTGTCCCTCATGTGTCCCTCTGTGTCCCTCAAGTGTCCCTCATGTGTCCCTCATGTCCCTCTGTGTCCCTCTGTGTCCCTCAAGTGTCCCTCATGTGTCCCTCATGTGTCCCTCATGTGTCCCTCTGTGTCCCTGAAGTGTCCCTCTGTGTCCCTCGAGTGTCCCTCGAGTGTCCCTCTGTGTCCCTCATGTGTCCCTCGAGTGTCCCTCAGTGTCCCTCTGTGTCCCTCGAGTGTCCCTCTGTGTCCTCCCAAGCTATATACGTGTCCCTCCAAGTTGTTTTATCAGTTGAACTGGAACCATTGAGCAATCACAACATGGGTCGTGTCAAGAAAGATTGTCCTGTGCCTGGCTGTACTGCAAAACAACTTTCAAAACTATCCAATCATTTATCACAAGTACACAAGATAGATTCTGATGGAAAGAAACCTTGGCTCAAGAAGAGGGAGGACATGACTGAAGTTCAACCCACTACACCCAAGTCAGCCATTACTTGGAGTCCTAAAGCTGTGATTGATCCGACTAAACCTTGGTGGGAAACACAGAGTTTAACACCTTTTGAACCCTGCTCCAGTATTTGTGTGTCTGGACCCACAGGAGCAGGAAAGACGCAGTGGGTGTATAAACTGTTGCAACATGTGAATGGCATGTATGTGAAGCACCCACCCCAGAAAATATTGTACTGTTATGGTGTTTATCAATCTCTGTTTGACGACATGGAAAGAACAGTACCAAACATTGTGTTCCAACAAGGATTACCCACCGAAGCAGACATTGAACAGTTTTCCTCTGATGGACAACATGGGCTCATCATCCTGGATGATCTTTTACATCATGTGTTAAGTTCTAAAGACATGGAGTTGTTATTTACACAAGGCTGTCATCATCGATGTCTGAGTGTTATCTTTATAACTCAAAACTTGTATTGTCAAGGCAAGTCAGCACGAACCATAGCCTTGAACACGTGGTACCTGGTCTTGTTCAAGAATGTGCGTGATACCTCGCAGATAATGACCCTTGGAAGACAATTATTTCCTGGCCGGGGTGGTGTATTAGTGGAGGCATATACTGATGCTATGAAACAGCCTTATGGATATTTGGTGTTGGACATGTCTCCTCGTACAGAAGACAAACTACGACTCAGAACCAGCATTTTCCCAGGGGGAAGATCCCGTTGTGTATGTGCCAAGAGTATAAATAGTCGTCATTAAGACAGACTTTATCATTTGTAGACATGGAGTCTCAAGCTGACGACTGTCACGTGTCTCTGAATATTCCCACAACAACCAACGTGGAACTCCCCCCCCTGTATTGAAACGTACCATTATCTCTCTATGGTGTATACTTGTGTTGTTAATAACTGTGGGATACATACTAACTCTAACATGGAAGGATAGAAGCATATTGGTAGGTAGTCCTCTACCCATGGACTACATTGTGAATGACAGTCACTACACATATGACTCAGTTGGAAGAGACTATAAATAGCAGTGCCTTTGTTTGTCATGGTCAATGAGGGGAGTCATCCATGAGTCAGAGAGTTGTGCTTATAAATTGTGTTGAACATTGAATGGAACGTCATTATGTCTAAGACACTCAGACAGAACGGATATTTCTTACGGTTTTTGCAGGAGAATACATCCCCTGTTCAAAAGAAGGTGCTGTTGCAAAGTGTGACTGATGACCAGTTAAAAGCCTTGGTAGAGATTATTTATAATCTGTTACACTCAGATGTATCTCTGTCAAAGAAACATTTGACTGCACTGAGAAAACACAGAAAAGTACTTCGGTTTCTCGCGGATAAAACCATATCTAAGACAAAGAAACAGCAATTACTACCCAAAAGTGTGGCTGTCATTAGTTTAGTGTTGAAGGTTGTTGGACCTTTATTGAAGACTTTGTAATGGAGCATATCCAAAAACAGGTGCTCATTCCTATGGATAAATATAAACGACTCTTGAAAAATCGTGTGAATCCACTGAGTGGTGGTGGTGCAATGGATACGTCATCAGATGTGACTCATCATACCACCATTGATGAGTCAGAACCCATGGATACCAGTTTGATTCTGAGTGTTCTCCCCAAACCTTACAGACAGAGAGGTGCTGCTTTATTGAGACACATACAAAATGATCCCGACCAAAGACTGTCATGGAATCGGAAAGGTGTACTCATCTACCAGGGTCAAGTCATTCAGGGGAGTCATATTGCAGACTTACTCAAGGACTCACAGTATCTGTATAAACGTTTTCAACCCAAGGGAATGACTGAATTCTATCAGGCCTTAAAAGACATACACGTGCCGCAAGGACTTGTAGGCAACAGACAACGTCTGGAAGTGGAAATGAATTCCAAAACACCTGAAATGACACTGAGGCCTAAACCTCCGGGAATACCAGCGCATACTCAACAGAGGAAAAAGAAGCCTTTCAAATGGATTACACTGTAATTTTTATGTGATTGTAAAGTAGACTGTGGGTTGACCCCTAACCTGTAGTTCTACTCCTGTGAAACGGGGTCATTAAACATTGAAAAACATGTATATCTTGTTGTTTGTCTGTAGACATCTATAATAATAACAGAACACAGTGCCATACCTCCCAACCGTCCTTCTCCGATTGGGGACTTCTGTGGGCTAGCTAAATTTAGGTTTTTTCTATGTTTATTTCCAAGTACATTATCTCATCACTATGAACATGAAACATAGTTAACCATCACTAAATCTAGATAGTATGGACAGTTTTACATACATGCATTAAAATACTTAGAAGCATAGTCATACATCATGGCATCATTGACCATTGTATTTGAAGTGAAACTACTTTGAATGTCATACAACACATATCCTCTACATTTCATCATAATGTAGTAAACACAATACAGTCCACAAGTAGAGCTGTCACTGCTTTGAAGTACTTTGGTATTGTATTCATAACATGATCCATTTTTAATTAAAAAAGTCTTGAAATTCTCTTCGATAGTAACTGGGTCTTTCTCCAAAGCTGTCAAAGAATTCTCCATAATTTGGTGAATGTAACCAAATAGCGATCCAATGCTGACCTCGTTGTGTTGAATCGTGGGTATTGACGATAAAACCTCGAGGGTAGGAGATGATTTTCTTTGGAAGTTGGTCTGCTGCACCTATTTTAACATTAAACTGTTTTGTGATTCCATCCGCATCAAGGGCACACATCAGTTGGAGTGAATTCATGGTGTAGAGTACAATATATTTCTTGCGTTATCCACTGTCAGCATGAGATTATCCTCAGAATAGAGAATCAGATTTGTTGTCTCAGGTAATGCTGTACTAAACTGAACGTGTAGCCTTACGCTTCCTCTTTTTATCAGATCCAAGTAGTCGTCTTTCAAATGATAAGGTTCTAGACAAAACTGGTACAGAGCATATCCGCCGTTAAAGTCGTCCCTGTTGATATCCAACCCTCTGGATGCTCTTCCTTCAAACAAAGTATTATAAGCTGCAATGTACTGTTTATCAGTTACTCGTAGGGGTTCCCCTGGTAGTGATTCTCCATCCACATAAAGAACAATAGAACTGAGATTATACATTTGAAAATTAAAGGGAGATTTGGTGTAACTTCCATTGACGGCTTCTGCAGATACCAACGCTACTACAATGTTATTGGGGACCTTGTTTTGAAACAAATTATCCACTGTGTAGTTCAGCTGTCCTTTGGGTAAAGATACAGTTTTTATGTCACTTTTGGTGAAAGGATACTTTGCAGTGTGATGGGTGAGAATTTTGGCATGACTGGTGATGATGGCTGAGCTGGGTCGAATCTTACACATTCGCAGATAGATATCTTCTATTTTCACCTTGTAACTGGGTGAGTCTTCTCCAGACATGAGATTAAACGCAGCAGGGGTGCGGAACATTCGTATTTGTAAATCCACGCCATTAATCAAGTAGCGTTTTGAATCCATCAGATCTTCATAGAGAGGTCCACACATATCCACGGTTCCAAGACGAGTGTATTCATATCTTCCAAATAAACCTAGGTTGCTTGAATTAGGATCAGGTTCGTCCAAATAATCCGCACTGTCTTTGTAATAGAGTTGAGACTGTAGTAGAGATTGTTTCACTGATGTGGTTTCGTTGAGAAGAACCTTGATGTAACTCTTGTAAGGATATAGATTGGTCGAACTCGTAATGAGTTTTCCATTGAGAGACAAATCCACTTGAGAGAACAGACTTTGAAGCCATAAATTGACTGGTGCTGTTTTTTCATCTGGTGTAATGTCTGTTCCATCTGTTTTGAGTATCTTGGCTTGCACATGTAAGTGAGTTCTCCTCAAGTCAATGTAATCTACCCCTTGTCCTGAGATGTTAAATTCAATGGGGCTGGAATCGGTTGTAATTTGAGACGTTGGTCTGTAGGTCATGTAATACTGTTTATCTACCGCTGCATAGGTAGGAGGTACAGTGAAGAGATCAAATTCATCAGTGATAGCTTCAACGGACACACTTTCTGTGTATGAAGCCATTATTTCTTCTTTTTGACGGGTATGTCCAAGTTATCTCCAGAGCCACTTCTTTTAGATGTGTACAGTTTGCGCTTCTGGGAAGAACTGTTTTTTTCCAGCTTTAGTTCCCCTTTTTATAGGTTTCTTCTGCATCTGAATAAGAGCCTTGGCCTGTTCGACCACTTGTTGAGTAGGGGTAACGAAATTAATCTTAGGTTGCTCTGTGGTTTCTGGTTTTTTGTTTGTCTTTCTTCCACTCTGGATCATACAGTTCCAAATATCGATCGACAGACATCATGGCAGATTTTTCTCCTCCACGTGTTATAGAATGATAAGGGTCTCCTTTCCCTTCAGCCCTGAGCATGTAATATCGTGTCCATTTTTCAGCATCGGGTACGAAGAGTTTGTATCGTGGATTATTCATGATGAAAACCAAAATGGGAGCGGCCTGAGGTGAAGCGTCACTGTCACTGGTCCACGGATAAATGAAGCTTGATTGCCCCTATGGTCTGTTATATAGACATCCACAGTCTGAAAATCTCTGAGATTCATAGGGACATACTGACACTGAGAAAATGAAAACGAATGTTCTTTTCGGTTTCCTATGAGACATAAATGTCTGAGTAAAGGTTGTTTTGTTTCCCCTACATGTGATGAATCGCACAATGAGGAATAGACATATAAGTCACGACGTTCCGATTTTGTTTTATCTATGTCCAAGGACAATATAGATATTTCTGTCAGTCCTATCCTCCACCTTTGGTCAAGATGTAATGGTTCATTCAAACTCACTCTGAAGTTATAAGGTTTGTTGTTGGGATAGAGGTGTTCACTATCTGTACTTCTGATCGTAATGTATTTATCCATGTTTTGATTTAATCTTGGGATTTGGTAACAGGTATCCTAGACTGGAACTGAGGAGAGCTGTCCACAAATTGGAGTTTCCTCTGCCCAAGGACAAATTGACAATACACGTAATCACCACAATGTAAATAATGATGATTTGAGAGAAAAACACTGTTTCTGTTTTGGCCACTTTTCGACCTAGCAAAGTCCAACTTTCACCAGACCTGCTGCGTGAGAGAGGATGTGTCTCTACTGTCTCTTCCATCATAAATGACTTTGAAAAGAGTTTACATTGTGTTTTTATACTGTTTCACTTCTGCTTCTGGGATCCAAGAATTGTATTTTTTCGACCAATGGAGCCATTTCACTAAGACTTCTTTCCGTTTATTTCTGGTCCTCTTTTTGACTATATCTTGAATTCTATACTCCTGATCTGGGTTTTCTATCACTGCTTGTAGCTCTGATGAATAAAAGGCACCTTCAATAGGATCACCACCCCAATCTTTCAGCTTGTACATGTCATTGTCTTGTGACCAATATCTTCTGATGACTGTTAAGATTTCACCGGACCATTTCTCCTGGTATTCTCTGTCAAAAGTTCTCTTCAGATGACTCACTCTGACTTTGTCACCCACCTTGAAGGTGAACTTCTTTTTACTGAGTTTAAATGTTTTGGGTTGAATTAAATACTGAGAAAGTCTTACTTCATCTTCATTTTTATGAGTTACACTAACAGGCGACTGTCCTAACATTCTGTGTTTGGTATGGTTGTAACTCTTGACTACATCTGGTAAAATATCCACATATCTGTATGTAAAGTGTTTCAACATGTAACGATACAGTCTCATTTTAATGGTTTTAATCACTCTCTCAGCATAAGGGGCCTTGGTTTCATTCAGTGTAAACATCTGGGTTACATTATGCTTTTTCAAAAAGGCTTTTACCCATCGATTCTTAAATTCTGTGCCCATGTCAGATTGAAATAGTTTAGGTTTTCGTGTTTCGGTTTTCCATAAGTTGGTTAATGCTTTCACCACGTCTTGACTTTTTGTAGACATGAGTGGAATTACCCACAAGTAACGTGAAAACAGATCTATGATGACTAAGAGGTATTTGACCCCATCATTGTACTTTGCTAGTGATACCATATCCATGAGATCAGACTGCCAGTGACTGTCTAAACCTTCCACCACATACTTATTTCTTGGAAACTTTCTCCTAACTTGATGAGTCATGGTATAGTTCTCCTGACCTTTCAGCCATTTCTTGATTCGATGTAGACCAATTTTAAACTGACCCTCAGCTTTGACAGCTTCGTATAACTTCTTGGGTCCAGCATAACTACCAGGATGTTCTGGATCATAATAGATCCTATTCAAGTAGTCTTCCCAAGGTGCCATCTCAAACACAACTAAACATAACTCACATACATCATACTATTTAAGCAAAACCCAAGACAAACATACAATACAATATTTTATTCACAAAAGACAATATTTACAACAACAGCTTTTCACGGGCATACATTAGTGTTTTTCCTAACAAGTTTTCCCCTGGCCATTTCCAGGGTTTGTCAATATCCGGATGAGATGCATCAATTCCTATTCCCCATCTTTTATCAAAGGGGCTAGATTCAGCTAACGGCTTAGGATAGGATTGAATCAATACGTGTTTCAAGTCACTGTTCTGGGAGAATTTAGCCATTACAGCCTTTGTCATAACATCAAGACTGACAGTGTCCCACACTTTCTGAGTAAAGCCTTTCACACATCTCCCAAGACGTTTTTGCTTTGCCGGTGAAGTCTCTTGTTGTATGCACTTTGCACTGTTCAAATCTCCAAAGTACATTGCTTTAGAGTACATGTAACACTGCTCAACACAATTAAATGTAATACCATCCAAGGTAAACACAGATGGATGAAAGTTGCTGAAGGGTGACTTCCATCCATAGAAACAGAGTCAGTTACTCCACATGTCATGTCCATTGGGGTTGCAAAAGGAACACTGGAGGTACCCCATCTGATTCTGATGATCCTCTTGTGCCATACAGGGGACCATGCCCTTCAGTTCGGGCACAAAATCAGGCATCACTTCCACACAGTATCCTAGTTTCTTCCACTGGTCCAGGGACAGCAGGATACCCTTGGCACGAGGAACCATAGATTGCATAGAGTTATCCCAACAACACTGTCGAATCTCTATACCCGTACTATCCATCGCAACAAACACATTAGCTCCCAAATGCCACTGTGGGTTAGGTTTCCCTTCGTTGACAGCCTCCTCAATGAATCGAATAGCTCCTGGGAGATCCACCCAATGTTTCAAGGTAAGCACAATGCCTCGCTTGGTTGGATAGGCCGTGCCACCCGGGTATACTTCATACTTCCTCACATGAATGTTCAATACGCCATCCCATGTCTTGGCTGTCACATAGACGTTGTCCCCCAGATGTAAATGACATCTGGGATCCTGTAGTTCTGTCATCTGCTTGTCAGTCTCTACCCCCAGCAATGTCATCGCTTGTATCTCTCCACATTCCTGCAGTGCTTTGCAGAATAGGGTGTAAGCATGAGGGCCCCGTCTAGGAAGCATATCTAACAATTCTCTGACCCGATCAAAAGACGTCCGTGGTTTCTCAATAATCTCAGCTTTCATGAAACAAGTAAGCACACCAAACTGCATCAGTTTGTCGACCACATCTTCTACACGTTGTATACTTGTCACGAGATCGGAGCGGTTCTTCCTGAGGATCTCGCGGTGAACGGTTTCCATCTTCGAGGTAAACAGCTATCAGTAGAGTCAAGAACATAAGATCCGTACGTAGCCCGACTGAAGTCAGAATGATATGGAGGACTGTTCGGGGGGACTTTATATACCCACCAGAGTCTAAAAATAGACACACCAGGTGTTCACACCATCTCAATATACAATAGAGAGCAGTGACTCATCATCTAAAAATAGACTATGTGAAGTCTAACAATAGATTTTGACCCTATAAAGCCCCATAGCTAAAAATAGATTTTGACCCCATAAAGGCCTCTATACTACTGAATTAAGAGTCAGAGAGCATGTCACCAGCTCAGGAACGTCCCATAAGCAATCTACCACAGTCACCATCTCAGATACAGTAAGAATGTCAGATCGTATGACATGGTTTTAAAGAATTTAATACAACTGAACTTTATTATGCTATGTTATTTACATATAAAAATATTGATTGCCCATACTGTCTAAAATATGAAATGATGTTAGCCTCTACTCCTTGATGTATATTTGTAATTTCAGAGATGCTATGTTATTTACATATACAAAATATTGATTGCCCATACTGTCTAAAATATGAAATGATGTTAGCCTCTACTCCTTGATGTATATTTGTAATTCCAGAGATATATTTATTGTTTGTGGTGTCGAAGAGATAATAGTGATGCTTTACAATGCTTATATTACAGTGAAGCAGAGAGTGATACAGCAGCCACTGACCCCAGTCCTACATAGAACAACTCCATCAAAAATTACATGAACAGGAGAGGCAACTCAAGGAAAAGGTTGAAAAAATAGAAACATTGAACAGAAAACTTGAACTTGAAAAGTTTGGACTTTGTAAATTCATGTATGATGATAAAAAATGATTGAACAATTTACAGTATTCCATCATTTCAAACATTGGCACTGATTAGCTGGAACTTTTTCATTTGTTGAATATCTTCCCAGGTTTTGTGAAGTACCTTGCCCAAACAGCACAAGAATTGACAGACATGAATGTAAATGAAATTGTTTCATGCTTTTGTGTTGTGTAAATGATGGATGAAAAATTAGACAGCTGTAATACATACACATTGATGGATTTAACTGAATAATAGAAAGGTCTTTCATAATGGCATAGTTGTAGATGTAACTCATTTGCTGCTGTTTAATTAATAATTGATGAAAAAGAATGTATTTCATCCTGTTTGAAAAGAGTTAGTTGGGAACCAGAAAAACCAGGTAAGAGATTATGATAATGTGTAAGGGGAGAAAACTATGATAAATTATGAATTGATCCAGCTGTAATTGTTGCCATTTATGTCAGACTAATCTAAAAATATATTTCTATCAACATAAATATTGCACCCAATATATTTTCAATTTGCATCCTCTGAAAATTTTATTGTTATTCATCAGTGTTACAGTTGGAAGCTATTGTGAATGTGTCTATTGTTATTGGACTTTTAAGACACCATTTCAAAATAAAATTTTATTAACTGCACTCCAGGTGTTCGTTATTTATTTAGGTTAATTGTTTGCTGTAGTGTGAATCCTGTTATGCTAACCTGATATGTTCTCCTTAAAAAGGTCTTCAGTTACAGTGGTACAGAATAAATGCACAAGGTCTACAATAAATCAATGTTATGGTATAATAATTAAATTTTGTTTGTGTTCATTAAAATTCTGGCAATCTGATTGGTTAACTGGGAACATTTCTTCTGATTTCATTTCCCAATGAATCTAAAAAAATAAGCCACGCCCACCGAACCGGACAACTTTCGGACCTGAGGAATGTCGGGGAATACCTTTACACAGCGAGGGAATTCCCTTGCACTCGGGTACCTTAATGAACTTTGGATAAACATTGAAGTGATACATTGTGGTTAACATAAACAAACAACACAAAATTATCCGTGAACGTTAATAAAGTGTTTATTTAATAAAAAAGTGTTTGGTTACTGTGGTTACCAAGTGCAGTCAGCGAACAGTCGTCTGCAACTTGTCTTGTTTACATTCCAACAAGATGACCGATTCCAAGTACGGAAGTTTTGATCTGGGGAATTTTGAGTCGATTTTCGAAGAAACGGGAGGCGAGAGAGAGTATTGCCTACTGCTAATGAAGAACGTCCTCCGATACGGACTATAGAAATTTGGCGCATGCGCACAACATGTCAACATGTCAGCTCGCTATCGTTGAAACAAGACCTCGACGGGTTTCAGGCCCATTAATATCTAAATGTATGATCACCAAAATATGACAGTTACGTGTATGTATAGACAAATTATCTGGGAGTACATCGATATCGACTTTTTAGTAAAAAACCTACAGGAAATATATTTAAAAAATCTCAAGAAAATACGAGGGGTAATCGGCCACTGGAATCTGAATAGGATTTATGAAGGTGGTGTTCTCGGCCGTGATGCAGGGTCATGTCTTGACTGTATATAGGACCGCATCGCGGCTCTCGGCTAATCGGTGAGGTGTTTACATTGGACGACGCCATGTTGAATGAAGCGCTCACACAGCAGTCCGTTGCGCGGGAAAGCAGGCAGCGTAGCGCAGAGTAGCGCAGCGAAGCTTGCAAACTTGTGCTGAACAACGCGCCCCCATGGCATCCAGTCACATCACAGCCCCTTTCCACTTGCGCAAATACAGCTGTTTAGGGGTTCTCTATGCTGATTGGCTAATGGTTTGGTAGGCGCGTCATTTTATGTAAATGAGTCACCTGAGTCATGTCACGCCATTACCGAATATTCTTACACCGAAAATGTTAATCGGTGGTAACAAAGATATCTGTTTCGATGAATTTGATTGTGTTTAAATAAAATATTGTTGAAAGCCTATAGTATTTGTTGTTGAATTTAATTATAAGGATTGACTGTGTATTTCTTTCGTTGCATTGAGGTATGCGGATTCATACAGTTTGCACATTGGTTTTTCACAGTCAATCCTTATAAGTAACACAGTATTGAAAAGTGTTTCAAATATTCCCCATGCAGGTACCATAAGTCCATTTAGGTAAAATACCTCCAAATCAGTCACGAAAGAAAAAAAATCATCCAGTTTTGTCTTGCACATTGTGTCCCACTCATGCTGATTGAATGAAATAGTTTCTACATGATGATGTGGCGATTCGTGTTTCCTCTGCGATTGTAACATGCAGCTACGCGCACATCGCCATCACCAGTAGTCCTGTACAACTGAAAATAAATGCGTGAATAGATACCCTATAGATCTATCTATAAAACAGAGTCGATAGGACAAAACATTTCAAAGGAAAAAATACCAAACAAATAATTTCATCACATGAATAATACAATTTTGTTTGGTCCAGATCCACACGAGGAGAGCTATCTTGATCTACATATTACTTATAATCTCGATTATCCAGCTCAAGAATTAACAACACTACTCCCATGTGGAAGCGGATGATTTGAATCCAGGTCAGGAAATACGTTTAGTCTTTTGCTCTGTTCATATGTTGATAAAGTGGAGCACCTTTAGAATACAGCACCCAACTTCTCGTGAGGACGATCTCTGCCGTAGGTCACGTGTCATTAAGACAAGCAACCAGTTTGTGAGAACTAACAATCCGAACCCGCGGCCTTCGGATTGTTAGCTCGACAGCTAACCGACTGAGCTACGTCCACACTGTTGCGCAATGTGCAAATTTATCGAGTCATTCCTGTGACGTCACGGAAATGAACGGAAAGAGTCGAATAGGTCACGGACAATTACGAATGCTACGGGTAGACTTGGTGTCTCGTGATTTTATTCTCCGGACAATTGCCGAATGGATCCGATGCCATTTGGCACACTCGTCCCATTCCGTAATCTACAAATTAACGTGTGGCGTGGAATGAGCCGATATGCCTCAAACTGAAAAGGGTTGTTGACGTCATATGCAGATTTCACGGTGAATCATGAATGACGCGCTTTTATATAAATCAGTGATTTTGTGACAGAAAAGTGATGTAGGGAACACTGTTAGGATAATGTGGATCGCACTAAAGAACGAGGGAGACATGAGCATGTGTAGGGACGGCACTCGGGTGAGTTAGCCTTCGAATCATTACTTTACAAAATTTATGTTGCGTGTGAAAGAGGCTTGAGTGCAAATTCCAGACCAATTTCCATTAGCCCAAAATTTCTACATTAAACCATTTCATAATGTACTTTCGACGTTTTGGGTTTCCCGTTTTTGTGTGAAAAAAAAGTATTAAAATGCAAAAAGGAAAAACTACAAATGGTACTCACGTATTACACCAGACATGTACCTGCTATATTGGATTAGGTCCCCAACCCTAACCCTAAACCCTAAACCCTCAGCCCTAACCCTAACCCTAACCCCTTGAAATAATCCTAATAAACAGAATGCATTGACCGAACCACCGGACATGTACCTACTATATTGCATTAGGTCCCCAACCCCAACCCCAACCCTAAACCCTAACCCTAGTCCTAGTCCTAGTCCTAGCCCTAGCCCTAGCCCTAACCCCAATCCCTTGAATTAATCCTAATAAATAGGATGCATTGACCAAACCGGCACAAACACGACTGACGTGTCTAGTGTAATGCATTATTACCGCTTCCAAAAATAAAATACTAATAAAACACTTTTCTATGTAGTGGTGCAAATTACTGAATGACAAAAATATATATGTAAATTAAAAAAATTACAAAATACAAAATACACAAAACATAACACCTCAGCAGCCCGTAATACAAATAAATATGAGCGTATTAGTGAAAAAAAGAAAAATATTTCAAACTGGTGCTTGCAAAATATTGCGCATCCGCCGGTATACAACTACTGGAAACTCTCAACATCGTTGGGCTTATGCAATGACATAGCTCGTAGAGATGAAACACCAGTGAGCGGAGCTTATACGCACTCGCTGAGCCAGACAACCGTGTTGCCATGCAGGCGTCATAGGGCATTGTTTCGAGAACGTGCGTTCGAACAAAATCGCATAACATTACGTAAAAGGGTATTATGACGTATTTTGAAAGTTTGTGGTGCTGTATTCTAAAG